CGTCCGGCGCGGAGAACAATTAACGAGATAATGAGAAACTGACGAAAAGAGTTGCTTACTTTTAACAGCTTTTTCACAGAAAACTAGTTTTCGCACGTAAGCTCCCTTTTCGTAGACAAGGTAACATATATCGTTCATGGATAGTGCGAAGTAGATCTATTTTTGCTTTCTAGTTTTTTAGGCAAAATCAAAAAGCAAAGTTTGTGGTACTTTTGAGCTGAAGGTAACCGGTAAATTTTGTTTAGTATTTCGACAAGCTTCTCTTCCAATTTATGGTGTGCGATTTGATATTGTTACACAAATAGAGGCGCCGACAGGTTTGCGTCGACTATGTACTCGATTGTATGTATTACTAGAAGTGCCAGTTACTTTTGAAATTCGAACGAGTTTTTAGTAATTTTTAAGCAATTTGGTAAAATCAAAGTTTACGTAATGGTTTAAAGTTTCTCTATAGACCATATTTTTTGCAACAAATTGCCGAAGAATGGAGTACTCTCTTACTAAGTTTGAGACCCTAAACACTCTCCTGGAATGCCTGGATGCAGAAACAAAAAAAAACACATGAAGCAAAATAAAATGCATTAACACAAAATCTTTTCTCAAGTGAAATGTTCTTATAACGGTATCTTTTCTGCCGGAAAAAATTACCTTTTCACACCTCTGTGCGCAATTAGATTCATGTCTAGTCTAACCTTATTCTTTGTTTTAGTCTTCGTCTTCGTATTCGACTTAGTTTTCTTACTTTATTCTCGGGTCTACTGCGCACTCAGCTTATCACAACACAGCATCTAGCTCTAAACACTATAATTTTTTCGAATAGGTTCCAGGGGTAGGATGAGTATGTACTCCTCTCTTGGGCATGGGTGTCCTATCCAGCTTTCCTTTCGCTGTGAAACGGCCTCACACTCCAGGAGGACGTGCAATTATGTCTCTTAGCTTCCAATGACCCATAAAAATACCTGTAGTAAATCTTATCCTTGGGGATGCTTATGACGAGCCTGTATCTCTTTTGCTTGTACACACCTATTAAGCTATTAGCTTGACGAAGAACCATGTTTTTTCACCAAGGCAGTTCCCTCAATTTTGTATTCTCCTTTCATAGAGTTTATTTTATCATCTTAGGACATACCGCAAGGAAGGGCTCAGAACATATTGGGGTCCAGACAGCAGCCCTTCTGGCTAACTGATTGGCTTTCTAATTAACAGGTATTTTCAACTAAAACGAAGGCGTTTATAACAAATATTCATGAAATATTATGGCTTGACAAAGCATTAGCCAATTCAGATAAAGTCAAAACTAGATTAGGTGAGACACATCAGCGCACTGAGGCCCATCACTGGGCCTATTGTAATACCACAAGGAATCTCATTAACACCTCCCCAACCAAACCAAAGTGTAGAGTTGGCAAACTTAGTCCGCTTCTTCCCAGTGGGGAACATTCTTATGGTAGGTGCCTTGCTTATTCAGGCTGTTCCTCATCACTGCAGCTCCTTCGGAAGTTGTTGAATGGCACCTCAGGCACTCCATGTGCCTGCCTTAAGTGATGTAAGTGGTCAGCAGATCCGTAAATAAAGAGATTCTTTCCCTCTAAGCATTAGGAGTTTCCTCTTCTTTTCTTTTCACATCAAATTTTGGCCACATATTCGGGTAAAAATAACTCACTACTCGACCAATCTTATTCCTTTCATTACAAATAAGTATCCTCGCTAAATCTCAGTGAAGGAGATTTATTTCTTGAAATAAAATACAAATCTTAATCAAAGAGATTTATTTCTTGAAATCAAATATTAATCTCAGAGGGAAACCAAAATAATGCGCGAATTTTTATATCTCTCCGAGAGAGGTGACTGCGCTATATGATAAGTATCCGAGCAAAACCAATATGGTTTTTCGGTTAAGAGTTATTTTCGAGCCCTGCTAAATAGTCATAACTAGTGCCGAAATGGCCCTAAGTTATCCCTGAACTCGACCAGAAAGTTTCAATTACAGATTTTCTGCTCGATTACACAAGAATCAGTTACACATTTTCTGCTGGGTTTGGAGAAATTTTACCATACTGTGAGCTGAAATGTGCTACATATAAAAAATATCAGGCAAACTTTGCTTTTTACTTTTGCAAAAAATAGGCTAGGTGAGGTATTTAAGTCATTACGCAATCGAACTCTGCATACAATAAGAAAGAATTCTGATATACATTAACTTCGAAAAACTCGAACCCTTTCACTTGCAGACTACCAAAAATTCTGCAGAATCTTCGTCATGGCTACTATTTTTCGCTTCGAAGAATTTCTAACGCTCCCCAGCTTCTTTTTCCACAATTGTGGTGCTGATCTTTGGGGCCCCAGTGGCGGACTGATGCGTCGTATTGTTTTATTCTCTGCCGCAACTAATTTACTAATAACTCTCATTGCCGAAACTTACTATGGCGCTATGAAAATCAAAACGGATCTTATCGAGGCAACTATGGCTCTAACATTCGTCGCTTTTGTACTGGTCTCCTTTGGGAAATACTACTATATGGTCATCGGAAAAAACAAAATGGACGAATTTTTGAATCGTTTGTTTGCTATTTTTCCACGCACCCGAACACAGCAAGAAGACATATGCCTGAAGCATTACATTAAATACAATTCGCTTGTAATGCGAGGCTATACAGCTCTTTTTATTGTGGCCATATCCACCTATAATGTTTATGCATTGTTGAAACAATTTATTCATACAAATATTCAGCACAAGCATGATCTCGAACCAACTGCGCCCTATAATGCCTACTATCCGTGGGATTGGCAGCACCATTGGAGCTACTATGTGGTTTATCTGTCGCAGAGTTTCGCCGGTTGGCATGCAGTAAGCGCGCAAGTAGCGCTCGATTTACTACTCTGTGCAACGGCAACACAGCTAATAATGCACTACGATCACATTGCACGCACCCTGGAGAAGTGCAAACCGAAATTTGCTGAGGCACGTGAAAATACTAAGGGACCCCATTTGGCGAGAGTGGCTATGGAGTTGCGTCTATTTGATGAGGATAAGCGGTACATTGCCGGTGTTGTTGCTTACCATGTGGAGGTGTTGAGGTGAGTGTTGAGTGCCTAGGTGTCCACTAGGTTGGTCCAAAAATGCGTGTGGGAAAAGTGAAGTACAAGGAATTTTATTGCTCTCACCCACTAGGGTCGTTATATATCGAAAAAATTTATCCCAGTTGCGTTTTTTTTTTTCGTAAAAAATATTTCAAGCTCGCTTGCCACAAATCGGAAGAGAAGCTCGGCGAAACACTAACATATCAAAGAATAATACGCAATTTTTTATTTAACTATTTTTTTTTAATTTGACGATCCGATATAAAATAATCCCAGGGTTCAGAGCATTAATATTCCAGCCCTACTTTCTTTGGGCTACCCTAGTGTCCACATAATTATCAAATTATCACTCGTTTACAGTTATTACTGTTTCATTTACACTCAAGGCTATCTGATTTAATGAACGATTTCTTTGGTGTATCCCTTTTTATCAACTTGTTCACCTCGTCGGCAATTATTTGTTTTCTCGGATTTCAAATTACCGTCAGCCGAGAACTCGACTTTACTATTAAACTGGCAGTTTTCTTCGTAGTCTCTTTAATGCAAGTATTTCTAATCTGTCATTTTGCACAACAACTAATCGATTCGGTGAGTCTGCTTCTTCGACTGAAAGTCTGAAAGCATTTTTTTCCCCACTTATCATCTACTTACCTCTAATTGCACAGAGCACAAATGTTGTGAAAGCTGTACAATTCCATGAATGGACTCAAGCTGAAGTTCGTTATCAAAAAATGCTTGTGCTGATAACTGCGCGTGCTCAGAGGCCAGCATACTTGAACGCGACCAGCTTATGGCCCATATCTCGGGAAACCATTACCTATGTAAGTGCTAAGGTATTATTTATTGATGACCAATATATCTTTAAATAGATTTTTTTCTTTTTCTCTTTCTCTTTTTCTGCAGATTATGAAACTGTCTTATAAAATTTTTGCACTCATAAGGACTATGTATTATGATTGAATCAAAAATGCAATTAGTTGGCTTAAAAGCATGTATGCACATACATATATAAACAAAACTCTCGAGTTTTTTGGTCGAAAATAGTGGCACACTTATCTTGGACAATGCATTATATTCAGCTTTGCACAAAGAATACGATTTCAACGCGAAATTGTATTTAAATGAAAACTTAAAACAGATAGAGAAAAAAAGTCATACATATACCCGTAGTTGTGTATGTAACGTATACGTCCCGTAGGAAGAGTTTAGGTTCAGATATTCAAGTTTTTCTTATAACAATCTTTGAAAAAAGTTAAAAAACAGCATCAAAAGTCTCATTATTACGATTCCGTTCAAAATTTTTTTCAAATTTTTTAAAAATATTTTTATACAAAATTTTTAAGCTTAAACCTTTTTTCATTTGAGTGGATATTTTCAAAAAAAAAAATTAAGAGACTATTTTTATTCACAAAAAAAATGTACTTTTTAAATCTTAATATTTTTCCGAAATATTTTGGTGGAGGTCTTAAAAAATAATAGATTTTATAATACCAATGAAAACACAGTACTTATTTTTTTTTTGTATGGAGAGTGATGCAGTCTAATATATATATTAATTTCATCATGTATATAACAATTTTAGAATTTCGAGCATGCCAATAAAAAATTTAAAATTGTATTTTTTTCGCAAATCATCGATCTTATAATCAATATATTTGTTTTTTCATTTGGTGGCACATTAAGTTTATTGCTCTAGATTGGTTCATTTTGGCAAGAAAATGTTCACTATTAAAATTGACATTTTGAAGTACTTATCTTAAAATGTTAAAATTAAAAATCGTTAAATTTCAAAATCTAAAAATAGCTGCGGCACGCTTCCATTTTTTTTTTCATTTGGTGGCGCACTCGTAAAACTTCACTGATATGCTGTATTTAATAGTAACTTTGATTGCGTGTAATATGAACATTCTCTTTGAGAACTTTCCAAAATTATTAAAAAAAAGAGTACTGATTTTTTTCGGGTGACAGTTACAAAACTTGTAATTTCGGTACTTCTTCGCCTAAATAAATGTTTTAAAGCTAAAATTGTTCAAATACTTGATTTGTTTCTTTATTGAGCTTGTTTCTGGAACTCCCTTTTTTGAGATAAATGCAAGAAGAATGCTTGCGAGAGAGGTGAGTGACACTGAAAAAACAACTCGTGAGATTTGGTCATATGTACATATATATATGTGATACGCGATGAAGGGGGTGAGACTGAAAAAAATCGTTAATTTGATTTTTTTAAAGGACCACCCTTAATGTACATGTACAGTACATACGCAAATATGTATGCACTATATCTCGTATAGATGCAGATCGTAGTAGAATATGCGTAGTAATGTAGATAAAACACGATATGCACAGTAGTAATTTTAAACTAATTATTTTAGCTGTAAAAAATAAATAAAGCACTGCAAAGATTGTTTCATTTTCAGGATTGAATTTATAAGTATTACTGGCGATGTTGCTTCGCCAGAAATTTTTGTTGGTGTTTGTTGACTTTCCGTCAGGATTAGCGTGTAAGCGATGGCTGAAACTTATTTTTTTACTACTTTGACGTGGCTGCTGGCAGCACACTTGGACCCTTCTTCGGGCCTGTTGTGGGATTACTTGGAATCTCGATACCGCAACCCCCCGTCAGCGGCACACTTTTACACCGCCAAATTATCCTCCCTGTTCGTGTCACTGATGAATCGCATCAGTCATGTTGCGTCGGTATTTGAAACCTCCCTAAGGTAGGACAGCAACGAGGAATCCAGATAATGCAACCTGCTTCCACACAGTGCAGGGCATTTGCTTGAAGTCCTTAAAACTTCTGCAACATCTTCGGTAAAGCACATGCTTACCTATTAGATAGTGCCCGGTTAGAGTGTGAACTTCGTGACCGCCAAGTCATACTGTATCACCTATTGAGATAGGCGGCTGTTCAGCGCAATCTTTGAGTAGAACGTGAAAGAGCTCAGCGCTTTGATAGCAGTCTGGCTATGACTAGAAATGAAGGCGTCACTTCCCATCATTTGGGTTCCAAGTTTCTCAGCAATCTCATGGAGATGAGAGCTGAAACTTCAGCTTGCAATACGCTTCAGTAGTCTGGTAACCTAAACTAGATTTCTAGACAAGGGTTTCGTGAGAAAGCGCTTCCTCCTACTTTACTGTGGAGTTTCGAGCCATGTGTAGAGATATCAGTACTATCGAGTGAAGTGTTAAAATCTTCTTTGAACTCCTCTCTGCTTGGGATTCGTGGGCTAAAATTGCTTTCCATAACCGACAGTAGCCCGAGGTTGAATGCAGGCTTCCATGCGATCGCTCTATATAGGAGGATTTGTCTAAAGACTGCTATTAATATGCACCGAAAAATCCGGATACTGAGGCTCCATTTCTTGCCTATGACCCTTTTGCAAGTATATACGGCTACACAAGCCATCTCATAACGTTAAACTATACTATCGTTCCGGTTCAGCTTCTTATCTAAAACAACGACTTAGAAATTTGGTCTTGGTAGCAAGGCTTAACCGGGCGCCGTTTAGTATATGGAGTTGACGAATTCGTACAATCACTTTGTCACTATTCCCAATATATCGCTTAGGTCTACAAAAATTCCACCTCAGTCCACTCATCGCCAGTTCAGGACACTGACAAAGTAAGAGCGTTACTGATTCAGGCCTTTAGCTTTTCTTTTCTAAATTACAGGCCTATATAACAACCTAAGCCACAACGGTGGAATCAGGAGATTGAAAAATAGAGAAGAGAGGTCAAGGGTTTTTTGTTTTAAGTTCAGAAGCGGAATGATTGTAGGGAATGTTGTGTAAGCGATAAAGCTCAGTTATCTCAATACAAGATGATGATTTCAGGATTAGTAGTCATTATCTCGGCAGCATAAAAGACAGTTGTCGAAATAATAAAACCTTCAACAAATTCGAAGTATCTTCTCTGTGTTTTCGCTATTTCCTTAGTTTGAATCTGCTTTAGCCACACTTCTACTCACCGCATCCAATAGCAACTGCCCATAGTGGCAAATCAAATAAATTTGTGTCAAAGACGAGAAGAAGAATAACAACAGCTTAACCTTGTAATCCGGTTCAGTGTCCATTGTCATTTGAAAGCCGATAAAGCAAATTACAGAAGATGAAGCCATAAAGTTGACCAGTAGTGGCACACCAAACACCTCGTTCATAAAGTTTGATAAGCTAGAAGACCATTGAAAATTAGAAAAGTAGCTGAAAGTAATTTATTACAACATACCTCAAAATATTCGAGTGATAGGCAATTAAGTCACCTAGAAATCGCATATCCTCAATATAAGCAGCTCTTTTCATCTCCCATTGACTGCCTGCTTGCACGAGCTTAACCTGCTGCTGCCGATTTACACAACAACTAGTACCCCATTTCGGTTGATACTGCTCAATTTTACGCGCCACATACTCATAATGCATTACCATTTGGGTTGCCATTGCGCAGAGCACCAAATCGCTAGCAATTTGTCCGGCTGCCGCATGATA